AACATCAGTCTCTCTCTAGTCTGTGACTAAGGAAGATACCAACACCTGCTCAGTATTTTGCTATGGAGAAGAAAGAGGTGATAATATGTGGAAGTACTTATGTACCACAAAATGCTTCAACGTGGTCACTGTTTATTTTAATAAATGTATCATTCAAAATTATGAGAAAACTTCACTAGCAAAGCATAGTTATTAAATACTTAATGAGCAAGCTTAGAGAGACAAATGAAAATCCCCTGAGTTCAAATCACTTATTTCACAGCTCTGAATAGATGCCACTTTTAAGGTGACACAGGTTCTATGTTGATTCTCATTTAATGTTTCTCTCCTACCAAGATATCCAGCTAGTACAGAAAGAAAGTGGCTTTGAGTACACAATATAATTGATAAAAATGCATTTTTTTATTTGAAAAGTATGCAGAAACAATCACTGAGTACAGTTCTCAACCATGGTATACAAACCTAGATGCTACAAGATCAATGGATGCTATGATTTCTGAAGCCACTAGAGGGTGGTTACAACAAAATGATGACCTAATGGTGTTTGTCACGAACCACACAGTCTATTCAGGGGCATATAGAAGAGAAATGCCATGTTTATAGTTTTAAGTTATATTCACACCAGACAAAACAAAGATCTGTGTAGGAGACAGACAAAACAAACGTGCTTAGCTTCAAATGTGGGTAATATTACATAAAGGTAAACTGTTGGGATTCTGTCTTAGAACATTGTCTATTTTTAACACATAAAGGTTAATTTATTTCCCTTAAATAATGTCAGATACAATTGCATCTTTTACAAGGCTGTGGACACAAAACCCCTAAGTGTACAAAGGATTCTGAGCAAGTTATAGTATCTTGAATGTCATTGGTTTCCTTGAGAGAAATAAAAGATGGCATACCAATTGAAGTAGGACTCATTGTTTTTAAATAATGAGACATATTAAATATCTTCAATCAAATATAATACCATCAGGTGGACTGCCCTATGGTAGTTTCCAATATTGAAACTACTGTGCTGTCCCTGTTTTGACACTTTTTTTTCATAATGAGAGGTTTAAATGATGATTTGTTTTATTAACTCTTCGCTTATGATCATAGTGTGCTTATGTAGTAGAACAAACTTATAAACCACTTTCTTATATAATGTATTCTCCTTTGAGTCTGATTTGAACCCTGTGAGGTACATAGGGTTTATAAGCTCCATATGAGAAGCCACTGAGTTATTGAATAAAATACCCATGATCACCAAATTGTTCTTTCTGGCCACTTTCCTCTCTACAACATTAGGCTTCTGTTCTGTAAGGCACTTGCACACACACACACACACACACACACACCCTGGGAAAAACATATATTACTTTGTCAAGACCAGATGGCATGGCGGTTATGTTGCTGGACTCCTACATGGCTGACTACAGTTCAAGTCCCAGACCTGGCTGCCTCAACCTCACACCAGATGCATATGCATGTGCATGTGCCCAAAATCCCAAGCGGAGAATGGAGGAGAAGGGATTGCATTGTGGTCATCCCTTCTAGTAGGTGATTTCTCTCTTTCTGTCTCTCTCCATCTTTCTGGCAAGCACACGTGCCCTACAGCAAAAATACTCTCATAAAATAAAAAATCTCAACCATAGACCAGTGGTACAGAGAACTCTGCACTTTGCAGAAAAGCATCTTTGTGCTGCTAATTTTTTGAAAACTATAAAGTGCAATTTATGAAAAAATTAGGTTTACATGCAGTAAACAAATGCTGCTAACTTTCTTAAAGTTTAAGGCAAATAATTAAATACTTGGTGTTTAAGTAGCTTTGTTAGCTTAGTTCTAAGAGCAAAAGCTTCTACTCAGTAGTAGAAAGAAAGTATTGATATTTTTATGAAAATTTTTCTGTTAATAAATCTGTTTTATTTCTCCTTAAAACTCAACTTTTAATTATGGCCTTGTTCATGTTCTGCTGTTTAAGGAAACAATTTAAACAACGTTTAACTCTTTATAATCCTTACTCAACAATTATACCCAAGAATTCTAAGGCAAAAGTTGATAAAACCTCTCTATAACTAAGAACATTTTTTAACAGTTCTACTTTATGATTGGACAACTAGCATCATGAATTTATAAAGCACTGAGATAACACTCATCTCAATATTCTAGGTCCATTGTCATGTTTAAGAATTTAGCACTTGGGACTAATAGGTGGTATAATGGTTAAGTCAATGGACTTTCATGTAGTTGACCATGGTATGGTGGTACTGGACCCAGTGGCTTAAACTCATGCTGGGTTCATGTACATGCATGCCCAAGATCCCAAGAAGAAAATGGAGGAGAAGGGATTGTGGGGTGGCCATCTGCTCTGGGGGTGACTTCTCACTCTTTCTCTCTCTCTCTTTCTAGTGAGCACATGCATCCTATAGGACTCCTACATGGCTGACTACAGTTCAAGTCCCAGACCTGGCTGCCTCAACCTCACACCAGATGCATATGCATGTGCATGTGCCCAAAATCCCAAGAGGAGAATGGAGGAGAAGGGATTGCATTGTGGTCATCCCTTCTAGGAGGTGATTTCTCTCTTTCTGTCTCTCTCCATCTTTCTGGCAAGCACACGTGCCCTACAGCAAAAATACTCTCATAAAATAAAAAATCTCAACCATAGACCAGTGGTACAGAGAACTCTGCACTTTGCAGAAAAGCATCTTTGTGCTGCTAATTTTTTGAAAACTATAAAGTGCAATTTATGAAAAAATTAGGTTTACATGCAGTAAACAAATGCTGCTAACTTTCTTAAAGTTTAAGGCAAATAATTAAATACTTGGTGTTTAAGTAGCTTTGTTAGCTTAGTTCTAAGAGCAAAAGCTTCTACTCAGTAGTAGAAAGAAAGTATTGATATTTTTATGAAAATTTTTCTGTTAATAAATCTGTTTTATTTCTCCTTAAAACTCAACTTTTAATTATGGCCTTGTTCATGTTCTGCTGTTTAAGGAAACAATTTAAACAACGTTTAACTCTTTATAATCCTTACTCAACAATTATACCCAAGAATTCTAAGGCAAAAGTTGATAAAACCTCTCTATAACTAAGAACATTTTTTAACAGTTCTACTTTATGATTGGACAACTAGCATCATGAATTTATAAAGCACTGAGATAACACTCATCTCAATATTCTAGGTCCATTGTCATGTTTAAGAATTTAGCACTTGGGACTAATAGGTGGTATAATGGTTAAGTCAATGGACTTTCATGTAGTTGACCATGGTATGGTGGTACTGGACCCAGTGGCTTAAACTCATGCTGGGTTCATGTACATGCATGCCCAAGATCCCAAGAAGAAAATGGAGGAGAAGGGATTGTGGGGTGGCCATCTGCTCTGGGGGTGACTTCTCACTCTTTCTCTCTCTCTCTTTCTAGTGAGCACATGCATCCTATAGCAAAAATCTCTCTTAAAAAAAAAAAGAATTCAACACTCTTCCCAGGCATAAGTTGATATCAACTTGGTCAAAGATCAAGAAGAAAATAGAGTTTACAGTAAACTTTTAGATATTCTTTTCAAATATAGAGAACTTGGAATCTCTAAAAATGATAAAGCTTTCTCTAAAATATTCAAATACATTAAACTTCTTGTAATGTTTTAAAGCTTAGTAGTAAAAAATTGAAAGACAATCTTCTATCACTTTGGCTAATTTCAGCACTCGGATCTTTATTTTAAAGAGTTATTATATATCTTAGGAAACCAGAGACTCAGAATACTATTTGTTTATAGTTTGAGTTTTATATTATAACTCCAAAATCCTTTATGGATGAGAACTTTTCCTCAAATTTTTGGTCTGATACACAGCAAGGAAAGCACCTGTGCCCTTTTAAAAGTGCATAGAGACAGAACAGCAAATGATCTCATTTCATAGACAGAAGATTCCAGGTTATATACTAAGCCAACTTAAACACTGCGTCAACTACATGATATTGCTTCTCTTCCTAAGTGCTGCATGTATTCCTTTAGTGAGAAGAAACATAGGCTTCATCAATTTCAGTGGATTGATTGTATTGTGGTTGCCATTAATGTAGTCACGTCCTTCTCTATGGTCAAGCTTTTCTCTCTTACAAAAGGGACAAGAATGGGCTGATTTGCCTGGTTCATCCTACCTGGACAGATTGGCAAAGAACAATTAAGGTAGAAGCATGACAAAGACACCCACTGATACATAGCATGGGCCATCTGGTTAAAAATAGCAGACAAATATTTACTTTAGAAAATCCTGGTTTTGCAGTTTTTGCAGTGTGATAGCTGTAATAATAATGGGACATTGGCTAGAGTGGCAATGTGCACATTCTACAACTCTTACAGAAAGACCCGCAAGATCAACACTCCAAGCATTTGGCATTTTCTCTGACAATTCACGACTTGTTACCATCATCAGACCAAGACAAACATTATGTTCTCCCAATTACTTTTGATACATTTTTCAAAGGCTCATATTTGTATATATATAAAACCTTGTATCTAAGCACAGTTAAAAATCTCAAGTAATGCCCACTCCATGAGAAGGAAGGTAGGAGACCAGGAGAAGGTAGTAATAATCGTCAGATTCTAATACAGTTCTTGCATCCTTTGCTGAAGCTACCAGAACATACTTAGTTGTGTTAGTGTTTCTGCGAGAGCATTCCATAATATAGCAATTTAGGAAATGGACTATATGGTTGGGGACAAATTTGGTCACAGAGGTAACCGAGGCACCAAGAGCAATGTAAACATCAAACCAATGTAAACACTCCAGAAATGGTTCCCGTATCAGAAAGAAGAATCATGTATATTATAAATATTTGTCCAAGATACAATATGGTTTTCTAAAGCATGTGGAAGATAATCAGTAACAAGATGCATTTTGGCTAAAAATACATGCTGTGGGTAAAGGAGATAAGAAATTCTTTAAAGCAGTCTGTATACTTAATGGCACCAAATCAACTTGAAATTATAAAATGAATTAAACAGAATCATTAATCCTGAAATAATTAGAGAAGGAATATTTTAATAATGGCTACACAAAATTTGGAGCCTGATACACTTTTACAGAGAAAACTTTTTTAGATTAATTATTTATTTATAAGTAGAATACAATTTTTAATTAATTTCCTTGTCAGCTTAACATTTCATTATTCTTGAGATTATTACTCAATAATTATTATTTTTATGGACTTAGTTCTATAATTATGGGTATCATCCCACTCTGCTTCATGCTACAGTTATTCAATAACGATTTTAAAATAGATCTGGAAAAAAATAACTGATGATGACAGAATCTTGGCATAAGCAAGTCAATCATATATCTGGAAAATAAATAATAGAAACACAAAGACATATCAAAATAGAATAATACTTTCAGGGGTTTATAAGAACTAAACATTCCCTATTATGGGAACGCAGGGGACATCACAATTTAAATTCAAAGAAATTGATAGACCGACCACAGAGCAAACCGATTTTGGCACAGCAATGATTACATTATTTCTGCTACATTTCCTTTCAGAAAAAACATCTTCAATGTTAGCTAATGCTTTCTCCTCTCATGGCACAGGTACTGAGATGAAGAGTGTCACAGAGAAAACACACGGGGGACAGGGGATACCCAACCAAGCTCCATCTTAGAAGCTGTCATGGTGCAGCAGACATTGAATGAGCTGGACAGATAATTGGAGAATTTCATGAAGGGCCAATCCCATAAAAGCTTTCAAACTATTTTGATTCATGGCACATTTCTGGGTCTAGTCCATTCTAAGAACATGATAAATAGACATTCCTTTGGATCTGTCTGTGTTTCTGAAACCAATTCAATACCAGATGGAGGATCGTAGGGAGAGGTTGAAGGGGGAGCTGGGAGTTTAGAGCTTCCAATGTTTGTAACTTACAAAATAAATATGCATAGTGTCTGGAAAAATTAGATGTGATTGGTAAAGTGTTTTAGGAAGAGGAGCCATCTAGTCTAAAAGTCAAATACTCATAATAAAAAGAGAAAATAGGAAGTAAATTGCCTTCATTATTGATAAAATTGACTGCATTATATAAACATTTGGATAGAAGTGGCTTGTATCAGAAACAGATAAAAAAATGAATGGAATGTTAGTTAGACACAATAATAAGCACAGGGCAATGGAAAATATTTTTGTGACCATTTTTAAGGGGAAAAAAAGACAGTTTAATGTGTAATCAATGATCAACCAAATATTTGCTGAGATTAAGTACTGCTCCATCCCTGGTCCATGCTCAAATACAGCTCAACTCTAGATGTTTTACCTTAAGCAGGATAAAAACAAATGCTGACTATATTGTAATTAGATCATGGTATCAACTTTCATGTGACTAATGACATAAAAATTCAGAGTGAACATAGAATTGATCCATTACGATTCTGAAGTGGCTGATTCACAAGTGACACACCAGCATTTCCATGACTGAATCAAAGCCAGAGGTGAGTGTGAGCTGGAAAGAAGAAATGTGATTTAGGGGTGCCGGTGCTGTTGTAAATCAAAAAGAAACTAGCAATTAATAGTCACTTTCGGTTTCATATCACCAGCTCATTTTATCATAAAAAAAAGTTAAAGTTAAATCATTTGTCATGATGGCATTTTTTAAAGAGATATTTAATAAACAGCAACATTATTTTTTCTTGTGACTATATATCAGCATCTGCTAAGAAAAATAAAATGTGAAACTGAATACAGAACGATTTTAAAATTTTGTTTGAAATGAAACCCTCTGGAGGGTCTTTTAATCCCAACTGATAATGTCAACTTCTAATTGGTTTTGAGTGAAATTTGGTTAAGTAACTCTTCTAGACATCTGTGACAGATACATTTAATTTTATCTGTGCAACTGCCATGTTGCCATGCTTTCATTCCCTCCAGGACATGCTTCCTGTTCTTTGTCACTCACAGTCCTGTTCTTGTCTATCTGTAATTTATTAAGAACATGAAAAATGGCATTATCCCATGATCTCTTACCTTTGAGCAGAAGTCTGACATTCATCCATTCATGACCTTATCAGTAATTTAGTCACTTTAGCACAGATTACTGGGTATACATAGCTATGTCAATCTTAACAAACCACATAGAATTCTTTATTACGTGTCTGGTTCTGGGTAGTATCTTTTCCCCAGTATTTAAAATTTAAAAGTATGAATCAAATTCCATAAAATAAGTACATCCAATCTTTCTAAAAAAAGATCTGTGTTCTCCCTTTAGTAGCCTATCCCCTTCTCCAAAGTGACAAGGTAATACGTGTTCTGATTTTAAACTTACTGATACACTTTCTTACACACTATCTTATATACACCTTAAATACTCATCTTCTTTATAAGAAAAACAAATCCATGATGGTGAGATCATATTAGGAAATCTTTGATCTTGCTTAAAAGGCCCTCAGGAATAATTGGTCGATTCTTTTAACTGATAACTATTCTGGTTTCTTAAAATAGATTATTTTTTGGCAGAAAAAGAAAGACACGCCATTGTGCATGGCCTACACAATAAGGATTTTGTGGTTTGTCATTGTTTTTGGAAGTAATATTTGGGTGGGGTTCTTGATTATCAGTTCCTACATAGAGTCTAGCAGGCACATTTCTTCTCTGCTGGCTTTTCCCCATCAAGTTTTCCAGAATTTCCACCATTTACAGTGTCAGGGACTTGGGTCTTTTCCACGCACTGTTCCATTCGCTTCATTATTAAGTCCAGAAGAGTTTCTACTGCTTTCTCCACATTCTGTCCAGTTGCTGCACTTGTTTCAAAATATGGTATGCTAGCAGAGAAAAGATGACAATTATTTTTGAGAGGAAGAAATCAGAATAGAAATAAGTTGTAGAAATGAACCACACATGCAAAAAAGATGGCAGACTACGAGATCGTAAGGCAACCATCACTTTGCTGGTTAGGTTGGAAGGACTACTGTTTTTCCCTCAGTGCGTAAAAATTGGTGAGCTGCTCTTCAGAGTAGTGACAACTAGTAAGGTAAGGGAACTGATAGATAGATAGGCAGTTAAAGGCCAAGGCACTAGCACTGTATAAAATAAATAGGAAGGGAAAAGTGCCTAAACTAGCGATCAATATTACCATTAAAATATCACTCCCCTTCCAGTTGGTTACCTAGAAATCTGATTTAGAATCAGACCTGCATTGAACAGGATAGTCATGTGAATGCAACCTATATTGATTCATTATCTAAATTTCCAAGGAGTCATGTACATTTTAATGCTCTCAAGGAGAATGCTTCAATAAAAACTGGCAGATAGGATGACATTACTTTAAATTTTGAAAACTAATGCCAAATTCTGCCATAGAAGCCAGTATATGGTTACATAAGGTTTATTTATTTATTTATTTTTTGTTGTTGTTTTCATTCAAGCTCAGCCAAGATATGGATTTCATTATTATGCCCATGTCAGGTATTATTCCTCAGAGTTTTGCAGCTATTGAGAATCAGTAGAGAATAGGTTTTTTTATAGTTTTTTTTTGTTGGGAGAGGATTTTGCTATAGGGCGCAAATGCTCTCCAGAAAGATAGAGAGAGACAGAGAGACAGAAAGTGAGAAATCACCCCCCAGGGGCGATGGCCATGCTGCAATCCCTTCTCCTCTTGGGATCTTGGGCACGCATGCACACGCACCCGACGTGAATTCAAGCTGCCGGGTTCGGGACTTGAACCGCAGTTGACTACATTGGAGTCCAGCAACATAGCCATTACACTAATGCTGATCCCTTAGAGAATAGTTATTAAGAGCATGAGCCCTAATCTCAGAGAGCCTGGACTGAATTTGAGCACTGTTACCAAGTATCTATGTGGAGCTCCTATCACTTTATCTTTTTGAGACTCAATGCTTTATATAGAAAATGGGTGACTTTAGTGTCTCCCGCATAAGGTCATATGGGCTTAAATGAGTTAAAAGTCTAGAATGGTTGCTAGCACGTAATAAATATTCAGGAAATGTTAGCTGCTATTTTTTCAAGTAATTCACTAATCTAGCATATATGTGGTGTCTTCAAGAAGTTCATGGAAAATGTTGAAAAACTATGCTTGGATTTCAAGATGGTTTTATACCAAAAGAAACATATTTTAATTCCGTTTTATGTGAGCTTTTTGAAGCCCTTTTAAGCCTCTAAAAGGTCTTTTTAATTTTCAGACTGATCATGATTTCTTCTCCCAGTGAGCTCATGTCTCCGCCTCATTGGGTGAGTAGCAGTGTGTGGTCACAGGATGTCTCAGTGTAGCCAACTCACCCGTATTTGTCAGCCAGGTCCCGGGCTTGCCGTTCATTGACTTCCCTCTGGTCTGGCAGGTCTGCCTTGTTGCCAATTAATACTATATCTGGATTTTCACAATAAGCATTTGCTTGCAGTTGGCCTTGGAAAGAAAGCAGATGGAACCAGCTCGTCAGTTATAAACAAGAAATGTCAGATGATTGCTCATACTCCAGATTCCTAATCTCCTTGTTCTTCTCCAGTTTAACTGTTTTCTAGGTGTATTAACCAAGTTACTTGCTCTTCTTGGGCACACTTTGCTCATCTATAAAATGGAGACAACACCTCTCAAATCACAGATTGTCAAGGTGACTAATCATATAGAAGCAGCACCTGTGCCAATACCTCTCTGTGCCCTTCTACACTTCTAGGGAAATGTTCTCTGTGATGGACACACTGCTTCGCACCATTTGCTCCTCAAATGTAAGTGGAACTCCTAAGGCATAACTTGAAAGTATGCAAATGTGCTTTGTCCTTTAGAAGGCTGCCATTGCCCTCCCCTGATGTCCAAAGTTATGATCTCCAGAATGGAACATTCAAACCACCACAGATTCATGTTGAAAACAGGCTACTGTTTATCTCGTTTCTCTAGGAAAAACTTTGTGTGTGGAAGAGAAACAGAAAGAGAGAGAGAGATAGAGAAATAAAGAGAGACCATGGGGTGGAGGGAGGAGAAAAAAAAAAGGAACAGAAAAGAAAGAAAGGGAGGAAGGAAAATAGAAAGGAAGAAAAAATGGCAAAAGAGAAGAGAAAAAAAAAGAAAAAGAGAATGGAGAAAGGGGGAATAAAAGAGAAGCTAAGAAACCTGTCACCCTGTGTTTTTAGGGTTATAGAAGTAACTTAATGTCAATCTTGCTGTGTGCTACCTTGCCAAGACTAGATAAAGAAGACAAAGGCGTACCCTATAACACTGATTATTTGAGTATTAAAAATTAAAATGCTATTAGACATTCAATCTCAAAAGTATCCTTCTGGAGACTTTTTAAATCAATCCTTAAAGAAGGATTTACCAACCATTCTCTGAAAGAGTCTAATAATCTTATTAGCTCTTTATTTCCTCAGAATCTAATAATACCATCAAAATTTGGATAAGGAAATATTATATTAAAAGACAGTAAGGACAGACCTAGAATAAACACTCCTTCGGAAAAGCAATTAAAAAGATTGAGGTAGTGTGGTGGTTAAGGGAGCTGGACTCCCAAATGGCTGACTACGGTTCGAATCTCAGACCTAGAGGTTAGCTTTCTCACTTCCTCTCTCTCTCTTTAACTCTGTACCTTTCTGGTCAAATTAAAATAATAAAATAAAGTTAAATAAAATGAGTCTTTTAAAAAAAAAGAAAGATAAAATTTGTCAGTATTATTCCCCATTGGTTGAAACTGTTGTTGAATTCAAATTGAAAGCAGTTATATTTATATATACTAGTTATTGACTATGTATTATATATAATATTATTAACTTTATAAAATAACTAATCATAATAGAATATATAAAAATATGTTAGTATCAGTACCAGCAGTTGGTATAATGGTTGCTGGACACCCATGTAGTTGACTGCAGTTTGAGTCCTGGATCTGATGCCTTAAACTCACACCAGGCACGTGTGCATGTGTGCCCAAGATCTTGAGAAGGGAATGAAGGAGAAGGGATTGCGGCATGGCCATCTCTCTTGCAGGATGATTTCTTGCTTTCTGTCTCTCTGTCTTTCTCTGTCTTTCTGTCAAGTGTACACATCCTATAGCAAAAAACAAACAAAAAAAACTTCTTAAAAAGAAATGTTAGTATCTACTCTGTGTCAGGCACTCATTCAGGTCAGGTCTGGGTTTCCCAATGGAACAAAAAAGACAAAGTCTGTACTTTGTCAGAGCTTACATTTTAGTGATGGAAAGAGTCAAAACATAAGTAAACAAAAAAGTATACAATATTTAACACAGGTGACGGCTGGGATCAAATAAACTATAAAGTGTGTTGAGGGAATATCTGTAAATCTGACTTCAGTAATTAATTAGGCAATATTTACATTTCGTATTGTATCAAAGTTGCCGTGGAGGCTGGAGAATTTTCTATATAAACCTTCCTCATATTTGAACTTTTTTTTAAGTAAAATTCCACTGCAAGGCAACTAGTGACAGACTGTGACTTGGCATCATGTTGCTGGTCTGCACTAGAGTAGTTTCTTATCTAACCATTGGTCCTCAAACACATTAGAAAACACCATCGAGGACCAGCTATAGTCATGCAGGTGGTAGGGTCTTCTGAGCCATGTTGGAGCCATATAGGGAGGCCCTGGGTTCAGATCCCAGAGTGATCTAAACATGTCATCCTCCCAATCCTGGCTGGAGGCTGGGAACAATTGGGGTATAGTGAGACCCTGTGAAGGGTGTCTGTCTACTCATGAATTAAATAGGTAATGAAAAGAAAGTGAAGAAAGCACAGCTGATTGTCACTGTGTCCTTTAAGCCAGTAGTTGGTGTGGTGGTTAATTAAGGGCCTGGATTCCCACATGGTTGACCATGGTTTGAGTCCCAGACCTGGTGGTTTGAAAATTATGCTGGACAAGTGTGTGGGTGGGTGTGTGTGTGTGCCAAAAATCCTGAGAGGAGAATGGAAGAGGAGGGATTGTGGGATGGCTATCTCTTTGGGGAGTGATTTCTTGCTTTCTCTCTCACTGTGTCTCTGTCTCTTTCCTTTTTGGCGAGCACATGCACCCTAGGACAAAAACCTTAAAAAAATTAAATTAAAAAAAGAAGTCCTTCAAGACTACTTGATAAGTGGAAATAATAGCCTTTCAAATACAATAATAAGGACCTTAAATATAGGTGGTGATAAGCCTGTATAAGCTTCCTCTCAGATGACTATCAAAGGAAAATGCAACTCCAAGTCCTCTTGGGTTACCTATAAAAAGCATTTCGAAAATGACACATGAAACACTATAAATTTAGGACTTTCCATAGTTAATCTGTGGTACACAATCTGGTTTCATGTTGTGATATAGAGCTTTGGGGTGCCAAAGTGGCCAATGCACGTCACTCAGTTTCACGTACTCATCCAGTTTCTGACATTTAAGAAGCTCTGTTGACTGGTGAGGTCAAACATTAATAAGAAGCCCATGGCATCTCGGAAAAACGCAGTAGTGAGGCTTCGGAACCTGCCAAGAAAGCACAGCGGGTAGTTCTGAAAGTTAGTCCACATGCTATAATGACAGTTCACACCGTTTCTCTGTCAAATACAGTCTCACTGTGGGCCCTTAAGGATTACCCACAGAAATGGGAAAGCAAGCAGAAGCTGCCCAAGGGCCAGGAGAGCAGATCTAGTTGTAGGGTTTTATTCATTTATTTATTTAAGGACCACTTCCTTGCTTCATGATCCCAAAGTACTTCACACGTAGAATGCGTAATAATCAATCTTGCACTGGCTTAGGCAGCCTGTTGGATCTTTTCTTTGGGGCTGTGAGTATTTCACGGTCCACATCTGAACTGTAGGCAGCCTTAGAGTGTAAACTTCAAATGATCTTCCTCATCTGTACCCCGATGAAAGCTTGTCCCTCAGGAGCCTAAACGATGAATGCCCACGATAATATGAAACGAAACTCTTCTTTTTTTGGGGGGGAGGTTTTTTTGCTATAGGGCGCGTGCACTCGCCAGACAGACAGAGACATAGAGACAGAAAGCGAGAAATCACCCCCAGGGGGGATGGTCACGCCGCAATCCCTTCTCCTCCATTCTCCTCTTGGGATCTTGGGCACGCACGCACACGCGCCCGGTGTGAGTTTTAGGCCACCGGGTCCGGGACGCGAACCGCGGTCAACTACGTGGGAGTCCAGCGACATAGCCATTATGCTAACTGCTGATTCCCGAACGAACCTCTTCTTGTTAGCAACTGGAACGAGGATTCTTTTGTAGGAAAAAGTGTTGATAAGAAAGCTCTTTTAGAAGTACTCTTTGAGGGAAAGATGAAGTGTAAACCTCTGCTTTAAGCAGTCACAATAAAATTAAAAGTTCTAATTACTGCCATAATTAAGGAAAGTGAAGTAGTCATTTGTACAGGCATAAAAATCCAAGTTTCTTGTATGATTAAATTAAAAATATTTCACTATACCATGATTAGTTAAGTCATCCAAAGGAACTTTAATTTGGCCGTCAGATATCACCTCTTGTTTCCAAACTCTAGTCACCCCAAAGAAGCATTTACTGAATCTGGGTGCATTTTTATCCTTGACAAAGATTTAGAAGGTAGCTCCATGCTTGGTTCTGAAAGCAGGCCCAGGTTTGTCTGTTTACATGATACAGAATATTCTGTTCTTTAGGACCTGATCCGATACAGGAAATAGAGGAATCTTTTGATACACTTTCAGTACAAGAGGGGAGAGTGTTGCCATAGCTCACTGATTTAGCCAGGGAAGAAACAGTGTCAAGACTTGCCAATTTATTCCTTGTCTGTTGACTACCAAACTCTAACAAAGAATTCGTTCTTCTGGTAGACTGACAGACAGATGTACACTGAAACTTAAGAGACCACTTAACTTTTCTACTGTTTGGTTCATTTAATGAAACCTTGCTGAACCACTCAAACTTTCAAAAGAAATCCTTGACTAGATTTATAAGAAAGTTGTTTTTGAACATTGCATGATTTTTTTTTTTGGTAGGAAGAAGGAAGCAAGTTGTGACTATGTACTGTTATTTTTCCAAGTCAGAGATTTCCACAACCAGCTTCTAGCATGTAAAGGGAAGAAATACATTCTACAACTCCTATGTCTTGAATTAAATTAATGTATATCGTCTTTACAAAAAAAAACCTAGACATTAGTTTGTATCAATAACATCTTAATACCTGATTTCTATTTGGGATAGAGGGAGTTGGTTTCTGTCATCTGTCAATGTATACAGTATGTTCACTTGAACTAAGAATAATGGCTAAGGAAAATGGTGACCAAAGTGTGTTATATGTTATTATGTAGAAGCAATTGAGGATTTTTAGCTGTACTGTGTTTTTAAAGATAATTTGCATAGATATATTTGTATCTGTTTTGTCCAATATAAAATGGAAATTACCTAAAGAGGAATAATGAAATTAAGAAAAAAACATAATCAAGATGATTTCTTATATGCAGAGGCTTGATTTTACAATTTAGAATGGTTGATGTACCCCTGTACATTTTAATTGGATAAAAACCTATGATGATTTGGGGCCAGTAGGTGGCATGATGGTTGAGGCGCTAGACTCTCACATGGACAATTGCAGTTCAAGTTCCAGAACTGGTGGCTTGCTTTCTCACTTTCTATCTCTCTGTCTCTCTCTGGTGAGCATATGTGCCATATAGCAAATTAAAACAATAATAAAATTAAATAAATACCTCTTATAAAAAGCCTTTGATGATTTAAAAAATAATAAAAGTACTCTTTGGGGTAAAACTGAGCTTTAGGCAGGCATCCAGTTCTCATGATGAGAAAGAAGATGATTAGAATGTCTAAAGGAAGGTGAGGAGAGAAGAAAGACATGGTAGTTGGAAAAAAAGAAGTGACCACAGTCTTTGCACTGGAGGATTTTGAAGAATATCCGGTGTCACATGTAACATTACATCTTTCTCACCCTGAGCACTTGATTGTCTTGCCTCAGCTTCCTGAGCTGCTGAGATTACAGGCACGTGCCACAGTCCTTGCTGTAAAGTAGGACAAGAAATTGCATCTGGGCCTCCCATGTGGTCTCAGTCTGTTAAGCAGAGCCATGGTGTGTACCACCATGACTGGGCCCAAGCTTCTATAGCTGACCCTGTCATTCTGCATATAATCCCTAGATAATTTATCCATGTATTTGGCTCAGTCATAGACTGTATGAACCAAAGTTCAAGATTCCAGAATTTACACATCTAGCCCTCTCCTGTCTTTCACTGTGGCCTAGTTACTTATTACATATTTCCACTTAAGAGGAAATTCTGGCATCTCTAAGGTCACATGTCCAAAAAACTGACCCCTCTGTCCATGATATCCCCCTCCATCCTCATTTACACAGCCTCTCTCTCTCACCTGTCGAAATAAAATCAACATGTGTATCTTGATTTGCTCATTTCTGTGTACCCTGTTAAGACTTTAGTGTCCAAAACATGCTCTCTCATATGGATAATGTCAATAGCCTGCTTATTAGGCTCCCTGTGTCCAATTTTGCTTGACAACCAGTTCCCCACCTTCTACTCCATTTCTTCCCATTAATTTTAATGATCTTCTAGGAAAAACACTTCAGTAATTAAGCATTGCTTTCAAGATAATGCCCAAACTCTTTAAGAAGGTATCAAGACTCTGCAGGAACTAATCCTTGCTCAGCTAACCAGCCTCTTCTCTTGACTACCCACAGGCATGCTGACCTCCCATCAGTTCTTCAAAAGGTCACTTTCCTCCCCTGGACATTCGCACATGCTGGTCTCTCTGCGGGTAACCTGACCTAATGCTTCCTTTTCTTACTACCCTTCTGTTGGCCTGGATAACTCTCATTCACACTGTATAGCATATCAGGGCTCGGTTGAGTAATGATATTAGAAGTATCACTTCCCAACACTCACATCTGGATTATGGACTCTTCCTGGTTGGCCCATCTTTTGCTTTTGCTTTCCTGTAACTGTCCTAAGGCTATATTATAATGGTTTATTTGTCCAAATTCTACCCTAGACTCTACGCTCCAAGGGAAAAGAAGCTATGTTTCTAACTTTCTAATGATTATGCTTTCATGGCCCAGAACATAGCATTTTCTCATGAAATATTTGTGAAATTAAACAGAGCAAGAAAAGAAAGGAAAAAAGGGACCAAAAGTTGGCGTAATGGCTATGTCGCTGAACTTCCATGTAGTCGACCATAGTTCAAATCCCATACCTGGTGTTAAACTCATGCTGGGTGTGTGTATATATTTGCCCAAGATACTGAGAGAATAGAGGAGAAGGGATTGTGGCGTGACCATCCCCCTGGGGGGTGATTTCTCACTTTCTGTCTCTCTGTCTCTCTGGCAAGCGCACGTGCCCTAAAGCAAAAACCTCTCCAAAAAGAGAGAGAAAAAGAGAGAGAGAGAGGAAAAAATAGAATATCCAAAGCTATAAGATTAGTAAAAGTTTAAATGACTCTAATGGAGAATGACATTTTTTAATATCAAAGCAAGGAAGAGAGATCTTTGTAAATTACTACCAATTTCCAGAGTAGGGTTTCTTCTGTAGGACAATGCCATAACCAAAAAGTGGATGGGAGAAACATCTTTTGCTCAGCTGTACATTTGTTTCCTCCATTCCCTGGATGTGTAAAGAGATTATAGTTTTTTTTATTGAATAGTTCTCTCTCTTTAGAGATCAGCTTTATGCACAAAATCGTCTCCTACTCAATCCCAATAGTGTCATGGATAAGAAAACTATGTATCTCATTGGAAGACAAGAGCATGTGTGATTCCCCTGTCATGGCCCCACAGCATGTGACTGGGACAAACACTTCTGCATCTGCAGCAATGTGGAAAGGAAGCTCTTGTTTGAGGGCAGGAATTCTGGATCATGCAGCCCAGTATCCCTGTTATCCCTTACTCCCTCCAGAGAGAGAAGTAATTGATCTCCAGTTTCATCCTCTGGCATTCTTTCCAGTGAGTTGATGCAGTGGGGAGCCTAGGACCCCATAAAGAAGTAGGCCTCAGGGTCACATTAGATTCTTTCTTTTCAACTGGGGACTAGGTTGGAAAATGTGTCCTTTAAGCTTACATATAGTCTGTGTATTTTTTTCTCCTCCCATGATGGTTTTTGACTTTTATCAATAACAGTTATCTTGCATGGATTGTACTTCAAGTTATCCTTAGGCACAGAGCTGAGGTGTGAGGCATTGTTTACCTTGTTGCTTAGCTACAACTTGTATATACAGGATGCAAAATTCTCAAGGGATGAATAACCTAAGTGTTACTAAGACGGTCCCTAGAATTCCCCATTCTCCTCCTAGAGCAGCTGTCTAAAGGGGACAGATGAGAGAAACGTGCCATCGTGCTAGGCTGACATATCATGTGCGAGGACATATGGGAACCACATTTTTTTCCCATATTACTTTGAAAAGGAATTAAATTGATCTAAAAACATACAGCTTTGTGACAACAAAACTGACATATGAACAGAGACTCTTGTGAGGAATGACTTCAGAAGAACCAGCAGTGTTGAAGGGTGTGTGTAAATGGAATTCACAGTCAAAAAAGCTAACAGAGAGGCCCAGCGCCTCTCCCGGCATTTACACTTACTGAAAGCGAGAACATTTTGGATGCATTTCAAAAAAGAAAGTGTTTACAAGCATAAGCATTCTAAGATATACGATGCAAATTTGGAGGTATGTGCCTTCTAAATATCTTCACTGCCTCTCTATTGCCATTTTAAAAATGTATTCTAATATTGAAAAGCTTCATAAGCTTGAGGCATTTAGCACTTTGACACCATGAATCTTAAAAAAAAATGCATTTTCATTGAATTATGGAATAGTACTTCTAGCTCTAAACAAGCAGTGCTACTGTCCACTGAGTATCTATTATCTTGGACATTGCACCAGAGACAATGCTGAAAAAACAAGCAAGATCTTAGCCCTAATAAAGCTGACAGTTTCCTTGATGGTGAGAAGGCCAAAAAGAAATAAACAGCAGTAAGAGTCAACTATAGACGACACAGCTTGGTACAAAATGATATATAATTAATTTAGTAATTTATGGAGGTAGAATACATATCCCAGGAGTTCAGAAGAAAGTGGGGTGTTATTCAGTTGGGGTGTCCAGACAGGCTTCTTAGAGGAGGTGGAATATGAGCTGGGTCTGGTAAAAAGAGAGGTTGGGAGAGTGGGAAGCTAGTGGAAGGTTCTAGCTGAAGGGCAATGGTGTGATCAAAATCAGAGAGAGCAAAGTCAGCTACAAGGTGTAGGGCAAAGAGACCTTGTGGGAGAACAGAGATAAGAGAGGCTGTATTGTCTCCCCTTCAACTCCCTCCTCATTGCATTTATAACAGTGCTAACCTCCCATTGTCATTTGATTAAATCTGGAGAAGGCATTTTTTCCCCCTAGTAAAACGTGGATAAATGGGCTGGACAGTGGCACAGTGATAAAACGTGATGTTCTGAAAGGAAATCCCACATGGAAAGGTTCCCGCTCATATCCAGAGAATTGCTGAGGATGCTGGGTACATGGTTGCCCAAGATTTGGGGCTGGCTGAAGGCTGGCATGAATCATGACATTGGGACCTGGCTGAGGATACCTCTCACTTTTCACTCTCTTACTCATAGAAGAGAGAAATCAATTTTTTAAAAAAAGAAAGTGAAAACACAATGCTTAAGAATCTTAGTAAAGATTTTTTGAAATATAATTTTAAAAATCTGTATCAACTACACAATGATAGTTATATTTAATTAACTAAAAATAATTTGTTTTTATTTCTCAATACAAATGTCTATTTTTCTCTACCAGAGGGTACATGCACATGTATGAGAGGCAGAGAGAGAAAAGGAAAGAGAGAGAGAACTGTCTCTCAACAAACCAGCCCTAGTCATGCTACAAATCCTTTCCCTCCAGTTCTTCATCCCCAAAAGATTCTGAGCATATGTACATGTCTGGTATGTTTCTCAAGCTGATAGGGCTGGGATTTGAACCCTGGTTGTCCATGTGGAGTCTGGCTTCCTCTACATACCTCACTGCTGTGCTATATAACCAATGCACAAGATGTCTCTTTTGAAACCAGGAGAATTGAATATCAGTTCTTTTCTTTTTTAGAGAGAGAGATTTTTGCTATAGGGCACGTGTACTCGACAGAGAGACAGAAAGTGAGAAATCACCCCCTCACACCAGGGGGATGGCCATACTATAATCCCTTCAGTTCCATTATCCTTTTGGGATGTTAGGCACACATGCACGTATGACCAGCATGAGTTTTAAATTGCTGGGTCCGGGACTCAGAGTGGGGATCAGCGGTTAAACTATGTGGGAATCCAGTGACATAACCATTATGCTATCTGCTGATCCCTGAATATCAGTTATTTTCAAAGTTCACATACAGCATTCATTTTTAGAGTTATTTAATTTATGTATTTATTATTATTATTATTATTATTGAGAGGTTTTTGCTACAGGGCGCATGCGCTCGCCAGGCAGACAGACAGAGACAGAGAGACAGAAAGTGAGAAATCACCCCCCAGGGGGGATGGCCATGCCGCAATCCCTTTTTCTCCATTCTCCTCTCAGGATCCTAGGCATGCACGCACACGCGCCCGGAGTGAGTTTAAGCCACCAGGTCCAGGACGCGAACCATGGTCGACTACATGGGAGTCCAGTGACATAGCCATTACACTAACCGCTGGTCCCTTTATTATTATTTTTTAAGCTTTCTATAGTAATCAAAGAGAGACAGAGAAAGAGAGAAGAAAAGTGACAATGCAAGCCCATCCAGGACTCGAACACACAGTCAGCCATGTGGGAGTCCAGCACCCTAACCACCAAGTAAGTTTATCTGACCTATTACATGTGGCTAGAAATGAAGTAATTTGCTCTTACCGCTCTTGTCCTGCAGTGTCCCAAAGCTGAAGATGCACCTTAAATGCTTTCCCTGAAGATTCATTTGGTCCTTGTGTATTATAAACCTGGAAGACACAATTTTCATCAGTTGGTATTGCTTTGGATTTTGCCAACATTCAAATTCTCTGGGTTCACTCACCATGTTTTTTCTCGATTGCTGTAATCAAAGTTCATAGTGCAGAATAAATATTTGCTCTATTTTTTCCCCAGAAGTATCACATATACTCTCACTTTTAAATGTCAAGTACAAGTATGATTTTCAACACAATTTAGGCATACTGAAAACTTAAATTAGACACCTTCTGTCATTTCCTCATGGAGATAGCAAACATGAGAATTTAGGACCCAGTTCTAAGGACCCAACTCTTCATTTAACCTTTTTGAATCTTATTTTCTTATCTGCAAATTGAAACCTACAATCCCTTCCTACGTAACAGAGTTATGAAAACCGCAAACTTAAATGAAATAACAGATCTAAAAACATTTAAAAAAATAGTAAAGTACTTTGCAAATGCCTGAAAACCTTTTGCTGTGAAGTAGACTTTCAAATGAAATAATAGTCATGAATGTGAACAGAATTTCTCAATAAATTAACACAGCACACTTTAAGCATTCCTTCTCTATATTCAAGGGCTCTTTTTAGATAAGGTGAAATTTTTAAAAATTTAAGTCTTCATATATTTAAGCAAAGCATAGCAATTTTAGTATTTAATCAGCTCCCCTTAATATGGGTTAGTAACAATATTTTAAAACAAAATTTGCACGGACTTATGCCCAGATCAGTGAGGTTAGTGTGGAGGAGAGAAGGCAGGAAAACCCTAGGGTCAGGGGGTTGGAAGCAAGTTTGATAGAACTACACCATCATGTACTGAAGTTCAGATAAATCAGTTAGAAAGCTATTAACGAGGACTCAGAATCTGACATCGTAGGCAATGGCAGTCCCGCCACCATTTCTTTTGTTTTCTTTCCCAATTTTCAAGGAGTGAGTAAATTTGTGACATCATCTAGAAGCCAAACCATCTTGGCAATGAAGAACACCTTGGGTGGCAGTAAATCTGGCTAAGCTTCTGCGCCTATGCTACACGTCTCACATGTCACAATATCCTTATTCCTGTCATTAGTGTCTAGCGTAGGAGAAGGAAGTGGTTGTGATTCTCACTTAAACTCCCTTATCGTGGAAAATAGCATGCACTGGTCTCACATTCTGTTCATAATAAGCCGGTGATTGATGGCTGAGTCCACACATAAATAAAAATGCAGCAAGAGCTTATAAATCTCATGTCCCAGCTATTTGCCAATCATACGTTTAACCTCTTTGTTAAGAGTAAGGAAATGAGCACTTGGTCTTACAGAGGAATGTAACTCATGTCACAAATGCTTTGAGACCCTGAATATTTCAACTTTTGACAGATCCCTTCAGAATTCATTGAAAAAACAGTCAACTCAAACCCATAAATTATTTATTTTAGTACCTTATATACTTTTTGGAGACAAGAGATAGTAGCACTCAATGTTTTTCTAGCAACATGTTATTTATAGCTGAAAATGTAGCAAATAATTTTCAAAAGCAAATTAAAATGACAGGTTATAATTTCATGTTAGCAAAAAAAAGACAATTTGCAATACAGTAAACATGGCCCATTAATTCTTATTTTATACATGGGGGGGGGGTGCAAGTGAAAAGGTTAATGATATGGTTAAAAACTTACCACACGTTTTTCCCGAAAGTCTATTCCTACTGTAGTGATAAATTTGGGGTTGAATTTATTGTCCGTGTATCTATAAAGAAATGTCGTCTTCCCCACCCCTGAATCTCCAAGGGCCAGGAGTTTGATCAAATAGTCATAGTCTCCATCGGTCATAGTGATGGTCTTGGTGGGCCTGTGTAAGAGAGAAAACCCAAGTACGTTGTGATTAAAACTGGTTTTCCTGTGCCTTCTACCCATACACAACACAAATTTAATTTTTAAGCTGAAGAGAAGATCCAACGCCTCTACTCTGCTAAATTCTGAGTTAACTTCATCTGAGTAGCTTCAGGGATGAGACTCTATCTATTCACTCAATACAAATCATCTTACAGCATGTCCCTAAATATGGAAAATATGTAGTGTCACAGGACCTAGAATAACCCCATCCAGGATAGTGCAAGCATGCTAGAGAAAGACAGACAATTATATATGGATAATGGAAGAGAAAATAGGAAGGGGAGATTTTTGCCTCTCACCAAGTATTATGAGCCTTCTACATGATTCACATAAAATATTCCTTTTAAATTAAAAAACAGTTAAGAGGTGGTATGACCACCTTGGAAAACCTCACTCAAGGCTAGTTGGTGAACAGTGGTAGCACAACCCCCTACAATCCCGGACCTACATGGGAAGGTCCGGGGTTCAAATGTAAGGGCCACTCTGTACTCAGGGACTGTGCTGTGATAGGCGCTGCCTGCGGCCAGGCATGAAGACCTGACATGAAGACCGTGCTGTGGTGCCTTCTTCTCTGAAAATCTAAGTCAAAAGACTTTAAAAAAAAATAACAAAATAGAATGAATCCCTCCACCGGTAATACAGAAAGAATAACAGCCTCTGATAACACCATCACCTACTGATCACTTGATGAAATTTCCACTCTTGAGTTTAGCAGAATGACTTACTATTGTACAATTTTCTGATTCATGGGTTATAGAAATTAGTTTGTCCTATCCTAAGCAGTGGAAGGCCTACGTGAAATTTTCTAGAATGGAAAATGTTCTCTCATGTAAACAGGAGGAATATTTCCCCACCTACCTTTGAAGATCCAGAAAACATTGTGTTCTTCAATAGTTCTGGAGTCATTAAAATTTAATTTAAAAAACATCCCATTCCATAGACATATCTAAAAATCACAAGGTGATGCTAGTAATTTTCTGCATGTAAGCAGAAAAATTTCATTAAAATTTAATTTAAAAAACATCCCATTCCATAGACATATCTAAAAATCACAAGGTGATGCTAGTAATTTTCTGCATGTAAGCAGAAAAATTTTTTTCTGCAAAATTATATATATATATATATATATATATATATATATACACACACACATATATATACAC